GAGAAGGGGAGCGGGGGAGATAGCTGGATGAAAACCAGCGTGAAACACGCAGGCTTCAAGTCTGGTGAAGTAAAGAAAACGCCTCTAGAAATAAATCCCAAATCAACCCAAGCCAGGACCGTGTCATTTGTCTGCTCTAAATGGAAGGAAGGAACAGGGGAAGCCATCAAATTGCCTCTGTGAATATTCATAAGTGCCTAGGGGATCCTAGCAATTATGGAGCCTTCCAGAAAATTGTACACATTTTCTCCCCAGGAAAGGAAGATTTATTTTGTGCTCATTTTTGCTCAGTGGTTGCACAACTTTTCCAGCCTTCACAGTGAGCTTAATCTGATTTTACAATTCCGTTGTCTAACCACAGGAAACCTGAAAGAGTTTTAGATCACTATTTTTTAAATACAGTTGAGCCCGCTCTTGAAAACTTTAGGAGTGCAAAAATCAGTGGGACAGCTCACGGGAGGAAGGACTATTTGGCAAGTAGAGTTAGGATCCTTATTGCACACAGGTAAGAAAGCTACTCACCTCCATACCAGCTGGACAGGTTTTACTTTAGGTTAAATCGAGACAGTACCTTACCCTTCAAAATATGGGAGCATCTAACTGCAGTTATTAAACTAACATTTGTGAAAGCAGCAGAAGCAAAAACTTGGCAAAGGATTTCAACATCTATAGTACAAATATGCACAAGGTGGTATCAATTACTTAAATGTGTGCATATTTATTCTGTCTAGTGTAATACCTTGATAAAATTGACTACAGCGGTCCATCTTGTTTTAGAAAGGGGCAAGGGTGATGATGGTTTTATTTATACTATCCCTTTGAAGAGTGGATTTGCAGTGAGTTAAAGCCACTGGATCACGCTTCTGCAGCACGTGTTCCAATATCACAACCACATTAAGTTTTTGCTTAGGTGCTGCTTCACCACAGACCTGGTCTTAACAATGAGTTAGTTAGTGGACCCCTGGTAGCAATCCGCTTCATAGATTTCAGGGATTCCAGCCACAAAAAATTCATTCCAGGATCTGGGCTCAGGTTCGTACAAGTACAATTTAAGAAGCTATCACCTGCTAGAGGAGGAGTACATGGAGGACATGCACCCAAAACAGCTCTAACCTGATGAACTGTGGTTTTTCCTCTCTCTTCAACAGCAGCTGTGAGGGAGATAAGACAAACCTGTTAAGCCAGCATGGTTAAGGGAACCTGTCTGTATTCAGAAAAAAAAATTTCATAAAAATCTCTCTTTCATGATCCCTTCCCTCATGATTTAAATAATCTTCTAACAAAACCTCAAGCAAAACTACCAAAGGGGGGAAAAGATGGAAATAACCTACAATTTTGCAGGAACACATTAGTCACTCTGCTTCTACATAACAACTCTTTCCCCATCCCTTTGCTGGTCTTGTTTATTGAGGCAGCAGCAGTATCTGTTCTGAAGAACTGACAAAATACTTTGTCTCCATGTGGCACCTAATACAACTGGGCCCCCTGCTTGGCTCTTCTCCAAACTATTCTAATACAGTTTATAACACAGGAAATTCTGAAATCACCCAAAAAGTGTAAAGCCTGAAGCCTTACTAGGTGAAAACGTCAAGAGTGCGTCAGATAGGATTTAGAAAGCACACGGACATCAGACTTGGGTCTCACAGAACCAAATGGGAGACTGGCCTTGAATTGAACAAGAACAGGCCTAGTATGAATCTAGTACCAATCCTGGAAGCTCTTCATGTGAAAAACATCTTTGAACTCCAATTAGAGTTTGGCATGCAGAATGCTCACTGGACCAGTCCCAAAGAAAAGGCAGATCTTTTCAGTTTTCAGGTTAAAAGAGAGGATGCCTCTTTCCATTGGTATCACCACCATTGCATCTGCTTCCCTTATCATTTTAGAGCCCCACCCCGCCCATTCCCTTATGATGGACACTGGGAACCTGGTTTCTTTTTAAAATCCCTCATACATAGGAGCACCTTTATACCTTGACATTTGCATCTACGGTACTTTATAGTGCAAAGTGCCCTGAGATTCGCCATCTCCCAAGATTTCATGAAGGATAAGGCCTCTAACATTATTGCCCCCATCTCATCAAGTTAACTTCTGGCTCTCAGAGACAAGAAATCCCATTTGATACCCCCAGCTGTGTAAAATCTGCCTGTCTCTACAGCTCAGGGCCTTCACC